ACACACACACACACACACACACACACAAACACACACACACACACACACACACACACACACACACACTGTAATGCATTGTAATATCATTGTAAAGCATATACGCATGTGCTGGGGATGCAGTGTTGATCTCAGATCTCTCTCCTACAGTCATATTCTCTATAAGAGGCTCTACAGTCACAGTGTACACACACACACACACACACTAAATAAAGGAGCATGACCATTTTTTTAAAGGTCTGCTGGTAAATCACACTAAATGTTCACTATTTTAGGTCTGTTAGGATTTCCTAAATGACTTGCATTTGCTCAATGCCAGAATAATGAAAGAATTGTTTATTCATTTCTAGTTGACACACATTTCCTTGTTATTGTTTAGCTTTGCTTTTAAACTGTGTAACTTTGGTCAAATGTTTTGGGTCTCCTTCCACAAGCTTCTACAATAGTTTGCAGGAGTTTTGGCCCGTTCCTCCTGCAGAATTGCTGTAACTGAGTCAGATTTGTAGGCTGTCTTGCTCGCACAAGCTTTTTCAGCTCCGCCCACACATTCTCTATAGGGTTGACATCAGGGCTTTGTGATGGCCACTCCAAAACATTCCCTCTGTTGTCCTTAAAGCACATGTGAACTCATTTGGCAGTATGCTGAGGGTCATGGTCTGTCTGGAAGAGTCATATGTGGGCATGTTGTAATGTCCTGGCTGATGTGTTGAGATGTTGCTTCAGTATTTCTCCATAATGTTCTGTCTTCATGATGCCATCTATGCTGTGAAGTGGACCAGTCCCTCCTGCAGCAGAACAGCCCCACAACATGATGCTGCCGCCCCCATACTGCACAGTTGGGATGGTGTGCTGATTCCCCTTTGTCCTCCAGATGTAACACTGCTCATTATGGCCAAACAGTTCAATGTTAGCTCCATCAGAGCACAGGACATGTCTCCAAACAGTCTGTTTCCCAGTGTCATTCAGCTAATGGTAATCTGGCTTTGTTGTTGATTCTGGCTTGTTGATTCTCCATGTTGTCACTCAGGGAAGCAGTGTGTTTGAGCTTTTCCTTCAATACTATTCTACAGTTGTGCCTCACATTAACTCAAATGTTGTCAATCAGCCAATCAGAAACCTCCAAAACCCTGACATCATCATCTGAGCTTTACAGAGGCAGAATAATCTGATTGTGTGTAAACTTGACTTTCAAGAAGAGTTATAACCATTTCTCAACACACATCTCTCTCTCATTATTCTGCTATAAGCAGAGCAGAAACACATGATCATCCTCACTTACCTAAAAGAGGAACAGTTTAGTCACATTATCAGCTGACTGTGTTTAAATGCCTTTATACAGTGTGTGTAAACCGTGTGTGTATGTGCAGATACAGTAGATTAGCCAGTAACAAAGACAAAACTGAAGACACAGTCCGAATATTAGCACACACACACACACACACACACACACACACACACACACACACACACACACACACACACACACAAACAAACACACACACACACACACACACACACACACACACACACTAATATGTTGGTGAAAATATTCAATAAATGTTAATAAACAGAGAAACATATAAAATATCAGGTTTAGTTCAGGTGTTGTGCTGTAGCGGTCACTGGGTTGACAATGATGATGATGATGAAGAGGCAGACCTGCACATCAGTGATGTGTTTGATCATCCTCCTGCAGTCCAGAGCTGATCCGCCAGTCTGAACCCTGAGCAGCAGAGCGGCAGGAACCACACACACCACACTGACACACACACACACACACACACACACACACACACACACACGTCATTATTGATGAGATGAAGCCGTTTGTGCAGTCATGTCCTGTAGTCAGACAGTGATCACAGGTCTAAGAGTGTTTGAATATGCAGAATTTGACACTGAACTCTACTGAGCAACACTCATTGTTCTGATATACTAACACTAGGTGTGTGTGTGTGTGTGTGTGTGTGTGTGTGTGTGTGTGTGTGTGTGTGTCATTGCGTCAACAGTAAACACAGACACACACTTCTGTTAACTATTGTGAATGGTGTGTGTGTGAGATCTTTCAGCTAGTATATGACCACTACTCTTCAAAACACACTGTGTGTAAGTTTGACACCCAGTGGATGAACTAGGTATTGCAGTCCTGGATCAAACCACACCAGTGGCACCGCCAGAAAATCTGCTCTGTGTGTGTGTGTGTGTGTGTGTGTGTGTGTGTGTGTGTGTGTGTACCGGCTGATGTTCTGGAGCGTCTGCTGGTATCTGAGCTGCTCTGCGATGCACTGGGGGTCAGGGGTCACAGAGCACCTGCTCTCAATCAGGTCCCAGAGGAAGTGATGCGCGTCATCTGGAGTCTTCTGTGGAGTGACGGCCTCTTCATACAGCAGCGCCTGCAGAGAAGACGCACACGACACCTGACAACCGTCGCTAGGGGCTTCCTCTCCCCCAAGGTGTTGCCATGTGTTGTTGCAGTGTTCTACTGTAGCGTTGCCATGGTGTTCTAAACGGTTGCTACAATGTTGCAAGGATACTGTTGCCATGTGGTTGCTAAGGTATTCCCAGTGATGACTGTGGTTGCGCTGTGCTGTTGCTAGGCTGCTGATTTTGCTCCAGGTGCTAGTATAGGGTGTTCTGGGTGATTGACAAGCTGTTGCTATGCACTAGCTGAGTGTTAGCCAGGAGATTCTACTGTGGTTGCTAATGTGTTGCTATGGGTCTCTATGGAGTGCTACGTTGCTGTGGTGTTGTTATATGTGGTTGCTTTGGTTTTGCTAGGTAGTTGCTATATGGTTGCAGTAGTGTTGCTATGCGGTTGTGATGGTGTTGCAATGTAGTTGCTAGGGTTTTGCTATGTAGTTCCTATGTGGTTGCTATGGTGTTGCTATGTGGTTGCTGTGGTGTTGCTATGTGGTTACTATGGGGTTGCTGTGGTTTTGCTATGTGGTTGCTATGGTAATGCCAGGGTGTTGCTATGCGGTTGCTATGTGATTGTTGTGTTGCTTAACTGAAGGGTTTCCATGGAAACAGTGTGTGTGTTGAAAGCATTGTGAATGTGTGTTGTGTGTGTTGTGTTGTGTGTGTTGTGTTGAGTGTGTGTTTGTCAGCAGTCTGTACCTGTAGGAGTGACAGCAGGTCTGGCAGACAGCTATCAGAGTGTCCGTGTGCTCCTGCACCCTGTGACCTGCACACACACACACACACACACACACACAAACACACACACACACACAGGTCAGATGAGTGTGTCTGAGTCAGTGTGTGTGTGTGTGTGTGTGTGTGTGTGTGTGCGTGTGTGTGT